ACAGGGACACCAGATCAACCTCAGGGCTCATGAGATGATTAGAGCAGCCAAGAATCTTGTTCTCTGATCTTTGATTTTTGGTGCGATGTTTGATCATTTGAACATTTCCCCAAGTGAAACCATATGAGAAGTTTAAAGGGGGGAAAAAAAATTGCTTTGGACTGGAGCTGCTAACAAGTCGCACACATGTGAAATGTGACCGAGGCTTGCATTGTAGTGGGAACCATGTGTTGGATTTAAAAGTTTGTCCTATTATTTGTAGTGTAAGATCTTGTTCTTTAAAGTAATTTAAGTTGTTATTGAAATATAGTGGAGTAGAAAGCAGAATATTCCTCTCTTACATGTAGTAAAGTGGAAGTATGACGTGAAAATACTCAAGTAAATCACCCAAACATTTCTCTTAAGTACAGTACTTGAGTAAATGTACTTAGTTCCTCTCCACCACTGCAGAGTTCTGTATGTTTTCACTTTCATACTTTCTAATATCCAGCCTCGTGCTTGGTAATCATGTGTTGGGTTTTCACTTTTCTGTTCGGCTCTTTTGAAGCTTTTTTATTTTTAGCTGCAGCCATAATTAAATGTGTCGCTCTGACAGTTGATCCTAAACACTACAATAGGCTTGTGTTATCACAGGACACAGCTACAAAGAGCCAAGCGCTGTAATTGCTGCATCTGTTTGGGCTTAGCTTGGTGGCTATAGGATGTGGTATAGTTTGCAATGTGGGAGACAGGGTTTTGGCTCAACGCAAGTTTTTGTCTTTATTAGAAAAATGTGAGTGAATTCCATTTAGCAGATACATTAAGTCAAGGCAGCAGATATGTACAGCACAAGCTGCAGATGTTCTGATAGTAAGGAGTCAGTGTTTTGTGTTGTGTTTTCGTCCAGGGGAACACAGGAGTGCTGCTGGGGATGCTCCTCGTCTCCGTGGTCGTGCTGGTAGCTCTAGTGACGGTGATGTCGGGGATCGGAGTGTGCGAGCACTGTGGCGCCGGCAGCGGAGGAATCTACTCCATGATCTCCACCGTCCTCGGGGGCAGAGTGGGGGGCACTGTAGGCCTCCTGTATGTGTTTGGACAGGTGAGGAGCAGACACAGGCTTTTTTTAGGGGCTAATAAAACAGCAAAAAGTAGATTCAACACAATGCACATGTTTAATTTCCATCTTCCCTCTATGTTGTGTACTCCGCAGTGTGTTGCCGGAGCCATGTACATCACAGGCTTCTCTGAGTCGGTGGCAGAGCTGCTGGGTTTACAGAGCCAGTGGGCGGTGAGCTGCATGTCGGCCGCGGTGCTGCTCGCCCTGCTCGGAATCAACCTGGCTGGTGTCAAGTGGATTGTCAGGCTCCAGCTGCTGCTGCTGGCTGTTCTGGCCGTCTCCACGCTAGACTTTGTCATTGGCACCTTCACACACCTCGACCCAGGTGAGGCTGGGGTCAGGGATGTAAACACAAAGGGGTTCAGGGATTGTGGAAAGAGGTAAATTCCTGCAGGTGTTTTTGTGGTTTGTCATTTTAACACTCTGCTGTATTTTTAGTCTAGAATAATTC